TGGTGACCTTAATGCTAAAAGAAGAATACATATTACATGTCTACATTTCTTTAAAAGTTCATTTTCAACTCCCAACAATTAACACACTCTATAAATAATTTAATAAAAATATATATCATGGTATGCTAAAATAAAAATGGATGTTACCCATAGTATGGCTCTTTCATTTGAAAGAGAAATATTTGGTACTTTCCACATTGTAAAGATATTTGATTAACATGCTAGCAATATTTTGGGCAGAAGCTGGTGCAGGGGAAAATAATTCTACCCATTTTTAGTAATAACTGCGTAAATGAAAAGTTTCTATTTATTTAAATGATTCTGCAAGATATACTCCCAACATTCCTCAAAGCTATGTAGTCAGGATAGTGATGGCTAGCAGGAAAATATTTAAAAGCTCCTTCTTCTTTTTAATCATGTATACTTAACAACATATATGTGTTATGTAAGGTATGTGTTCTATATTATATGATATATAAAATGTAATACTTTTAATATATTTATATATTGTATTTGACATATATAACACATTTGCACGTACATAAAATATAACATATGTGGCATATTTCTCTATATAATCCCTCTCCAATCATGCCACTCCAAAAAGAGGATACACAGATACTGACACAGTGTTAGGAAAACTGCAGTGAAAAAAACTATTTTGCTTCTTTGTTTCACAAAACAGCAATTTAGTAAACCTATTAAAATTGAAATATTATAGTGCTAGTTTTTTTAGAGTTATAAATGGATAACTACACTAAGTTTTCTGGGAGCATAGATGTAATTCTACCATATTTGTCTCTGATGACAGCACCCTTCTCGTTTTCCTAGATTGGTTCAGAAATCAGAATATAATTTATGTAGTTAAAATCATAAAGTTGCATGTTAAACAAAAACTTTACAGAAATGCCATGTAGTAGCTTTCTTTCCCAAGTGAAAACTTTGATAAAAGCAACTTTGTTTTAAAATTAAAGAAGTGGTGGACCACAGAAATTAAGAAATAAGAAATTTCTCAAGTTCTTAAGTTTTATGTCATGAGTAATACAATGTTTTTTTTTTTATTATTTGTATTCATTATTTGAGAGAGAGCGAGCGAGAGAACGCGTGCACACGCAAGGGGAGGGCAGAAGGAGAGAGGGAGAAAGAGAATCCCAAGCAGCCTCCCCCAACGCGGGGCTGGATCTCGCTGAGATCATACCCTGAGCTAAATTCAAGTCGCACGCTTAACTGACTGAGCCACCCAGGTGCCCCACAATCTGTTTAAAAACAAGGGTCTAAGTGGTTAGTGATCGTGACCAAAAATGCAGGTGTTGCTACCATACAAGCTCCTCAGATTATTTAATGTGCCACCTGGTACCACTTCTAACTCACAAGTCATGAACCTGAGGTTCAATAAATGGTAAACTGATGCTGGACCTTGTGAAGTATTGTTTTTACAAAATCTTTTTTGATCACTGATAAACATTTGAAAATTTCCTAAACTTGGTACCATTTGAGTACTACCACCTGGAAGAAACACCACTACTGGATGCTATCTGCCAAGGGTCATTAGGACAAAAGAGGAGTTCCAGGTTCTTTTTCTCCCAAGGCTGTTTAAGGCAGCAATTAGAGTTTACATTATGGAAAGGAGGGAGGTGGGGGGAGTAAAAGGGCACTGAGGGCCAGTGAAGGCCTATGAATATGCTCCAAAGGAAAAGATGAAGTGAAAAAACAGATACACTTGACCACTCAATCTAAACACTTTTCTAAAAATTCTTTCTGATACTCTTTCTTTCACTGATTTTTTTAAATTGTGCTTTTAATGTTTGTTACTTTAATAGGAAATGGGTAGGCTTAAAATCATACTTCAAAGCATTAATTTTCGCAGCAAATAATTGGTTATATAAAAGCATGGTTAAGTTATGGTATAGTGATATATTTGAGATTTCAGGGAGCATTAGAATGATTCGATGAACACACAACAGTTCTAAGACAGACCCACTCATTTCTTCAGCCCAAAACCGGACTGAAATTGTTTCAAAGGACCCGAGAAGTAGATAATTCTGTCAGTCCTAAATTACAAAGGTCTTGCCTTTACTTCTCATGTAGATAATGTTTATATGAGCTAGGTTTTCGATAACCACTGTTTAGGATTCCGTTTTCACTTCTATTATCATTAATTGATGAATATTAGCTCCATCAAAAATAACAGCCAAGTAAAAAGAGTTCAGAAAATGTACGGGGAAATTCTTGGTCATCTATCAGACACAGCTTGATCTTAACTCAGACTATTGCATATTTTCCAGAAAGTTTATACCTAACACTTCAGCCTGTAAGTATAAAACTAGAGTGAAAAAATAAATTCAGACAATGGCTTTTGCTGAATATTTTCTGTTCTTAAATAAAGCTGTTGAATCACAGTGCAACCAAAGACACCAAACAGGCAGGATTTAAAACAAAATCTATTTCTCCAGGAAAATAAAATACATTATAAATATGTTTTGATGAGAAACTGAAGACATCTTTCTAAGAAGCTTTCTATATCATAAAGCATATTCTTTCTTAAATGTTCACATACATTTTTCAATACATGGATTGTATTTTGATTGCATCCACATTTCTACATCTTAAAAGTATGACTGCTATATTTCATCAGGATCATTAACTTAATTTCTTGAAAATTAAAATTTTCAACTTCAGTGAAACTTAAGTCTTAAAAGTAACTTCCATTTTGCTTCCAAGTTTTGAGAAAGTATATATAATTAATTCTTCTAATCTACTTACATACAGAACATATGAACTAATAAATCCATGTCATAGATTTGACTCGGGCATTATGATTCAATTTCCTAAATGATTTCAAAAATATGCTTATAAGTATTTTATTTATATAATAAAGAAAATGTCATTAATGGTTAAAACTTCCTCTTTTTTCCCCTGAATTTAATAAAAATAAACTTCAAAAAAAAAGTCATTTCAGGAATCAAATTTTAAAATAATAGTAACTTCTCATGTCTAGAACTTATAGCCAGATGAAATTAGCATCTCATCAATATTCATTATAATAATACCGATATTCAACCATATAGACAGTATATGGTATTAAAATGATTCACTGATACTTCATGAAAAACACTACCATAGACACCAAGTTTTATATATATATATGCATATATATGTATATATATGTGTGTGTGTGTGTATATATATATATATATATATATGTAACCTTTTAATGTTTCTTTAATTTCCTCTTAAAACAGAATTCTCTTTTTATTCATATACATTTCTGATTTGACGTTCTGATAGTGATTTGCACTATCCAATTGTCCTTAACAAAGATTTCAAATGATAAAAAGACAATAAGCCCCCAAACCACACATATATATAATTCTCTTTGATAAGAAATAAGCACCTTCACTGCTAAGGTATTCTGTTATCACCTTCAAAATTTGTCACAAAACTACCAACACGATAAAAAGGACATAGAAGCAGTAGGATATGGATTTTCACTGATTCATTTTTCTAGTGCACCAGTAGGTCTTAAAAAATATGTGAGACAAAATCAAAATCACACTATGGTATTTTAGCTTAGTATAAATTCTTAATTAACTTCGCCAGAAATTCTTCACATATAAGATATTCCATTAGTTGGCCATATGACAACATGAGACTTTCTGCTGAACACAATATGGCTAATAAAATTAAGTTGACTTTAACCACATGGTCATTTAAAGAAGACAATTAGATTAGCCAGACACAAAACTTAAAAAAGCAGCCTTGGGAATAACTTTTTTCCTACAGCCATTACCAAAGCCTTATTGAACTGATTAACTATGCAAGAAAAGCAGCAAAGAAAAGCTGAAGAAAGGGCACTAACATCACTACTTGGCTTACCTAAGAACTCATAAAAGTAAAAGACTCTAACCATTTTATTTTATTAGGTCCTATAATATATAAATTCTGCTACTTTTCTGCAGCTTGATTAACATTAATCATTTCATACTTTTCCTTTTTTGTACCATCTAAAGAAACCTTAATTCTAGCTTCATATTTATTTAAAAAAAAAAAAAAACCACATTAATCTGGAATATGCCCATTGGCTTGCAAAACACCATTATCCCCAAATAAAAGAACACACAGAAGAATTCTAGAAGGAAATTACAATGCACAAAATTCTATAATACGATCAGCCCCTGATGACCATCAATCTCACCAGATAGTGTTCTACCTTCTAAGTATATTTAATGGTCATAGGCCCATTGCCTGATGGGATCTGTAGTTTCTAAAAACTGTGTGAGTGATAGTTACTGACTTTTTTCTAAAACTATGAACTTATAGTGTAAGATATGTTGCAAATATCATTCTACTTCATTTTGTAGGGTTGATCAGTTTCAGCCCTGATATTCTAAAACCGCATAACCTATCATCCAAAATGAAAATGCATGTATATGAATATGTATATATATATATTACAAAATCCTTGGGTAATGATACGTATAATCTGTGTTTTACAATGTTGTAAAATAAGAATTATGGTTCTTAGAAGGAAAATGCCTGCCAAAAGTATCTATTTATATGAAAATAATACTTCAAATATACATGAAAACTTTTCATTTGAATACACTGGAACTCTCTCTAGGCACTTCAATATATATTATGCATATTCATACCTTTACTGGGCACCAATTTTGTGTTTTTCACTGTCATATCTTTATGTATTGATATATATATATAATATTATCCTTCCCTATATTCAGGAATTCTAAAATTTCTTTGTGTATTTATCACCTTCAGGCATCCATACTCAACACCGGCCAGCAAATCCCTAAATGACTTCAATCTCTGTATCATACCCATTTCGTGGATAAAGAGTTACTCAGAGCCACTTAGATAATGCTTTCCTAAACCCACTTAGAAAAGAGAAAAAAAGCACTTCCTCTGAACTGTAGAACCTTATTGGGTCCACGATCACCTCACAGATATCCAACCTCCACCCCATTTCCCTTGACGGCACCTACCCTAGTGTTGTCATGGTGACGATGGTATACCAGAAGGCAGCAGGGATGCTGGTGAACTTGCTGGCCGAAGACCCCTTCTCTGCGTAGAACATGACTGTAGCAAAAATGATGATAGCCATGGTGAGCGAGAAGAGCAAGAAGCCCAATTCTGAGGCACAGCTCTTCAGCGTGTACCCCAGGATGCGCAGGCCTTGAGAGTGGCGGGAAAACTTAAAGATCCGGAAGACCCGGAAGACCCGGAGCGTGACAAAGGCTCCACTGACATCCTCATTGTCTGTCATCACCAGCCCAATGTAGTAAGGCAGGATGGCCACCACGTCGATGATGCTCATGACACTACGCACAAAACGGTAACGACTGGGTGCCGCGGCCAGGCGAAGCAAGTACTCAACTGTGAAGATCATGACGCAGGCTGTATCCAAGCAAAAGAAGGCCACCGCATACCGCTCCCCGCAAGGCAGTTCTTTAATGTGCCCGGGACTAGAGCCGCAGGGCACTGTCTCTACCACGTTAGCGATGACTGAGACGGCAATGAAGAAGCCTGTCACATAGTAGAACACCAGGGCCATTGTGCTGGTGTGGGGGTTCTCAAACGCCCGCCACACCCTCTGCCGGGCGGTCATAGTGGGCAGCGCGCTCTCTCCCGTGTTGTCGGTATCGGCGTCGTCCTGCAGACGCTCCGCGTTCTCCCGCCTGCGATCCTTGTACTCCTCGTAACAGCAGTCCCCGATAATCTCCGGGATGAGGCCAAAGAAGGCCAGTTCCTCATCATACGCAGAGATGCACTCATGGCGAGGGTAGTGCAGCTTCCCGGTGCGGTAGAAATTCAAGATATGGCGGAAGATGTCTGGGTCACGGTCAAAAAAGTACTGCTGAGTTTCCGGGTGGTAGAAAAAGTCCCTCTCCGAACTGCCCAGCAGAGTGTCCGGGTAGCGTTCCAGGGTGTCCTGCCACGTCTGGAAACGAGTGCCACTCACATTGAGCACAATCAGGGCATCTTGGGTCCTTTTTCTCTCCTGCCTTGGGGGAGCCGGCATGGGCCCCGAGGCCACGGGCATCCAGCCAATGGCTGCTGCCCTAGCAAAGGGCAGCCACGCGGCCACACCCGCCGCCATGGTTCCTCGAAGCGGAGGCTCGAAGGGCGATCAGGCTTCTACAGCGGGTCCCAGTCGCCACACTCACTCGCTTCCTGCCGTCGAACCCAATACTGAGAGCTGCGGTCTGGAGGTTATCACTCCTACTCCAAGGCGGGGCTCCTGGTGAAGTCACAGTTCTCGGAAAGGTAAGTTTCCCTCTAACGCAGGGATTTGTAAGAAGAAAAAGTATGTGTATATGTACAACGTCCTTACAATCACACCCAGCAGAACCTCACCAGATCTCTTCCAGCAGCTGGGCCAGGCCACTCCTGGCACGAATAAGCACACAGGTGACTTTAGGCGCAGCAATTTCTTCAGACAGGTGTCTGATTTCTCCCCTGACACAGTCCGGATAATGTAGGGCCAGTACGCGTCGTGTAGGACAGAGAAAACGAGGGACAGTCACTCAGTGGTGTTCTTCTGATGAATTCGAGAACCCTACCACCTTCCCTTACAGCTCTTCCAAACCTCCCCTTTCCAAGTGGCCCTTCCCGCCAAAGGAGTCTCAGAAAGGCGACCTGTTGTTGTAGCTTCCGAGATGCGGTCACAGCCGCTGCCCCATATCTCTTTGGGAGTCCGGTGGCCGCCTCCACTCCTTGGGCCGTATTTGCAGAGATGGAGGTGCTGTGGCGGTGGGCACGGTGGGGGGCGTGAAAACAGATCCGCCTCCCCCTCGTCTGCAAGCACCCCTTGTATCTGCCAAAAGCGTTCGCCCAATGGCCCCTTCACTCTCTTTTCAAGTTCAGCCCAGGTGCAGTGTGACAGTCACAGAAGCCGGGAGCTGGCAGCCGCCGCCGCCGCGGCGGCAGCAGCAGCAGCAGCAGCAGCAGCACCTGCCTCCGCGCAGAACGCGCCTCGCTCGCGGTACATACCTGGCAAAGTGCGCGCCGGGGCTGAGTTGCATAGAGACTTTCTCCTCGCCGTGCACCCGGAAAGGGAAAAGCCGAGAAAGCAGCTCCCGAGCAGCCGAATCCGATGCGCCCAGAGGGCATAAATAAAGCTCAAGCGAGCTCTTCTTCCCCTTCCCCCATTCCTCTGTGCTTCCCTCCTCCTTTTCACCTTCCAAAAGCCAGGCGCAGGCGAGCCGAGCAGCAGCAACAAGTTCAAAAGGTGCGGGGGAGGCGAGAACGGAGGGGACTCGCTC